AGTAATTTGATATGGGGAATGCAAATCCATGTAGTGTACCCAGGTCGATGCATATAAATCTTTTGGCCCATGACATACGACATAATATGTGCAAGGTACTTATGTGAGAGCGTTTGAGAGCATCATGTATGTTATGGTATGTATGTACAATACTATATTTGTAGTAAGCGGTTAATGTTATTAGTCGGTTCATGTTCCCCACAAACATGTCATACTAGAAATTTGGTGGTGGTGAATTGAGATACCCAAACCCGATCCACTTGGCTTGAAAGTTGGCTTCACTTTGAGGACGAAACATATTCATGTTCAATATTTTTCCTAGTGGTTATTCACAAAAATAAAAAAAAATCAATTTACAGTATTCATACATATGACAATGTGGCGAATGCGTTTACCAAGGCTCTTTCCATTGGAGAGTTCGAGCATTGATTGGACATCATAGGTTTGCTCTTGTGCTGGTGTTGTTTGAGAATTTAAGGGCAAAATGATTTTGAATAGCTTGGGATATTGTTTGTATTCATAATCTATTGCACGTTGTTGACCTTCATCATTTTTGATTTTAAAATGGCAATGTCGAAGATTGAGGTAGCATTTGGAGTGATTTTTAATAATGTCGTGTTATTCGTTACCTAATCACAACCTTTGAGAACCGTTAAAAGAAGGCTTCATGGCGTTTCTGCAACGTCTCATTTTCACAACAAAAATTTTTATTTCTAATTAAGGTAAAACTTCACGTTTATATAATCCAAGTTAAGAAAATCATTTGTTCCAAGATACATTTGTTAAAAAAAAATCACAGTGATATAATAAACACGGAAACTCCATGGTTGCTGATGAATGTATACAGTCACGTCTTCGTCTTCCCACGATCACCAATAATACTTGAAAAACATTTAATCCACAACTGTAATCCAAAGCTTAGTGAGTTCCCCCAAAATACCACACACCACAATATACATACAATACATGCATACCAGGCCCACAACACGAATATTGGATTGCCCTAGGCCCACAACACGAAGATTGAATTGCCCCTAGGCCCACAACACGAAGACTGGATTGCCCCAAGGGCCACAGGACAAAGATTGGATTGCCCTGGGGGCCACAACACGAAGACTAGATTGCCCTAGGGCCCACAACACGAAGACTGGATTACCCCTGAGCCCACAACTTAAGACTGGATTTCCCTTTGGGCCCACAGCCTAAGACTGGATTGCTCCCAGGTTTGTTGGCCTGTAGCACAAAGCAGTACTGCCTCAACCCACCCCACCACAATATGTCGACATATGAAATAAGCAAGTAATCAAGTAATCACATAAGCACATGCAACTATCTACCCTAGTCTACATGTTTAACAGTTCACTACTGCATACCTGGCCTTATACAATACTACACCATTACTGGCAGATCTCTAAGGAATGCATAGCTATATGTAATTAGAGGTGAGATAGACATTCGAACATTATATCTTACTCTAGAGCCACAACCAAACAAGGAGCATGCAAGAAAGCCTAGATCAAGAGTTCTCAAGTTATCCTACATGACTACATACAGCCCCTAGGGCACTCCACTAGACGGTCACCAACCTACTGGTACTCTAACCAGCATACTACTACTCTTATATCCTAACATACAATATACACTGTAATACATAGTATAATGAGGAAACTCACATGAATCGAAGACCCAATAAATACAACAACGCTTACTCCCTGCACTGATTGCTCCCATGAACCGACTAGCACCTTAATCAATAATCCAATTCCTTTAAGTTTGACCCAAAGTCAAACTGGTCAAAAAGTCAACAGTCAACAAAAGTCAACAGGTCAACAACACCCCACGACATGGCAAGCTCTTGGTCACGTCGTGGCCAACTAAAGACAAAATAGTCGGTCATCCGAGAATCGTTACGATGTGGCAATCCCTTGGCCACGTCGTGAGATCTTGCAGAATGCCAACGTTTCCACTAAGTTCTTAATACCTTCATATCAAAGCCCAAAATCTCATATCTACTCTTTCACACTGACTTAATCGATAAAGTTTCAAACTTTATCCATTAGAACTCAATACCAAGGCTAGATCTAACATTCTAAGTCCATTGAGTCCTTATTGAGGCTAAATTTTGAACACGAGCACAAGATACACCAAACATGGTCCTTTTTTTCATTCCACAGAAGCCTAATGTCCTAGAAAATCCATCACACGCTCTGGAGTTCTTCAAACTCCAAGAGCATCCAATGAAGGGACCAAAATCTTACAAAAAGGACTCAAACTTGCACCAAGAAGAACATGAATCAAGATGAGAGCTTTATACCTCTAATCACTCAGAAATCTAAAGTAGATGGTGGATCCAAGCTAGTTTCCTTTCCCCCTTGCACCAAGATGATCTCCGTCTTCTTCAAGCTCCACCAAAGACTAAGAACTAAGCTTCAAACCAAAAGGAAAAGCTCTCAAAGTTTCAAGGAGGTTGGGGTTTTGTGTGGAAGGGATGGAGGCTGAAGAGGATACCCTAGGTCATGAGTTAATGGCTTTAAATATGGAAGAGACCCTAAAATTCATGGGCTTGGGTTGCAGCTTCTGTCACGTCGTGACACTAATTGTCACGTCGTGACAACCATTCCGAAAACGCAAACATCGAGTTGGCACGTCACAACTTGACACCCCATTCATCACATCGTGACACAAAGTCACAAAGTTTTTCCCAAAAAACCTTACATTTAATCCTTCTGAACTCTCAACTGGGAAAACGGATGTTACAGTTTCACACGGCTTGGTTGCAATTTGGTCATTTCACATTGAAACCACATAATTAGACCTGGCAAAATCTGACACGACACGACAACCCGGCACGAACCCGACACGAAGTTAGCGGGTTAGGGTCAGAGATTTCGACCCGTTTATGTACACGGGTTGACACGACACGATAATTAAACGGGTAGGGTTAGGGTCAAGACTTTCAACTTGAAGATGACTCGAAGATGATCCGTTTAATATATATATATATATATATATATATATATATATATATATATATATATATATATATATATATATATATATATATATATATATATATATTTCATATTTTTATAAATATTTTCAATATTATACATTTGTAGTGGCCTAAATTCAAGAACTAAAAGTAAAATTCAAAATTTCAAAGTGACTTAATTTTACTCCTCCTCACTACCTATCTCAATTGCTTCTTAACTCTAACTCTTTTCATTTTGCTTTCTAAACTTACTACTACCTTCGTCTCATATTTATTGTACAATTTTGAGTTTTGAAGTCTTTATTCTTCAAATTTGATCTCAAATATTATTGTTTTTGATATATAACACTTAATGTAAAATATATGAATGAATTGTGTTTTAAATGTCTTTTCATTGTTATAAGTTTTATCAAGTAATTTATAACACAAATAAAAATATTTAATGTCAAAGTAGAAAAATAAAAACTTCAAAAGTAAAAAATGAACAATAAATATGGGATGGAGGGAGTATAATTTTTTTTCCGTTTTACCTCCCAACTCCAGCATTTCACTTTTTCATTTTTTTTTCCTCCATGACTCTTACTTTTCAACATTTAAAATGTTTCAACCCGGCATGACACAACATATTTATAAGGTTTAAACCTTAACCCGAAACCCGACGCGAAATCGACATGAAAATAAATGGATTGACACGACACGACACGATAATTAAACGGGTCGGGTTAGGGTCAAACACTCTCAACCCGTTTAATGTCTTGACACGGCACGAACCCGACACGACACGACACGTTTTTCAGGTCTACACATAATATCATACATAAACTTGAACTAGGGCTGTTGTTATAGGAACATAACATGATTGTTGGTTCATGATTGTTTCAGGAAGTCGTGTAGGATCAGGTGGGTTGGCCGCATGTGTCCAATCCCTTGTCAAAGCTACACATCGCATGTGATGACTTTAAGAGTTAAGACATGTTAGTTCTCACCTTTGTCGGGAGCACGGAGGGCCAGGACCACGAACCACCGGGGTGGTGTGCACGGTCGTGGTTCGTGGCCACCTAGACCACGACCCACTTCGTGGTCACCATACCGGTAGGCCTTAAGATGTTTGGGTAGTGTAAGTTGCTATTTACGTCACACCCAGACACCCTCAAACAATATAATTAGTAAAATAAGTACATTTTAAAGAATTTGGAATTTTGTTTACGAAATGTAATGTTTCATATTTTTCAAATTTAATTAATTAACATATTAACATGTCTGACTAGTTAAAAATGTTAATTTAATTTATATAGTTCATAGGATACAACTTGTAAAATATGATTTATTATTATTATTATTATTATTATTTGCAAAATTTGGACTTTTTACGAAATGCTATATGTAACGCTTTAAATTATTCTTAGATTAATCAACATAAGGAAGGATATATTAACATGTTGTGGGAGATTAAAACTGCTAGTCACACACATGATTTCCAAAATAAGAACATGTCACATCATTGTGACCTTTATCTTATTTAAGGATAAAATCAAATTGCTCGATCAATTGTTGGTTCCAGATGGTGTGTAAACACAAAATAGTGAGCAATAATCAACCTCTCTTGTGAACAAATATTTATTACAATGAATACACAAATGTCAGTTTGCTGAAAACTTAACAGGTGTTAAGTGCCATAACAAACTCCCTCAAGCAACTCTAAAACAAACACTTTGTCAAATGAGTATTTTTATGACAGGCATGCATTGCATATATTGTGGTTATTATATGTTTTGAGTCGTCATATTTGTGCATGGGGTTGTCAACTACCTTGATGACACATCACACATGGGTGTGATCAAATTGATCATGTGTGATCACATGCAACAATAATGAAGGAAACCTTGATTTGTGTATGTTACCAAGTAATATTTGAGATAAAAAAAAAAGTCCCATTTGGGGAGAATGAAAGAAAAAAAACAAATGAGGGAAAACTTTTAAAACAAACAACACCTTACATAGATACTTACGGATTTTGTATATAAACTACAAACAAGTGGGGCTGATTCAACGAAAAAACAAGTCAGCAAACTAAACTTAGAGAAGTTTTTTTTTTCTTTCTTTTCTCAGTTTCTGTAATGCATGTGCATGAGGTGTGTTGATTTTAGCAAGTTTCCTAGCTTAATGTTATATGATATTCTAAAGGGAGAAAGAATTTACAACATATAGTGAAGTGAATGGAGTCACAAGAGATCATCTGGAGTGGCGTGTATGAGAGGTTGATGTAGACCAAGTGCCGAATCTGCTAAAATAGGCAGCCCCGGTGAATCCAAATCTATCCCATCTATCTCTCCATTTTCAGCCAGTGCTTTTTCCAAAGAAGCTTTTGCAACTTTAATGATGTAAACAATCATTATCACTATCAACCAACAAACCAAAACAATTGTCATATTTCATAAACTAGTCATGTCATGACATATGAATGTGTTATAATTTTGATTTACCTGATATCATCAGCCCAGAACCTATAAATATCTGCAATTACAGAAAACAAAAAAAGAAAATGTCATGTGAAATGTACATTTTGCTCTTTTTTTTTTTTTTAAAATCAAGTTCTTTTTAGAGACATTACCCAACGGGTTTTTGATATCTCATGCCAGCCATGTGTTACATCAGAAAGGTCCTTGAGAGTTGTTCCAATGTACACAAACACAAATGTGATTGGCTGCAACCCCACCAAAACAACATAGGATTAAAAACTTAAATAATAATAATAATAATAAAATTATGGGAAAGTTGAAAGGAGCATACCATCATCCCAAGCCAAGTGGCCAAGATATACTCCCACAAGTGAACAGGAGTAACAGATAAAAGGTAATTCAACACGTTAAATGGAAGCAAAGGAACAAACCGAAGCAGCAAAACAATCTGTCACAAATAAAATCATTACATGTTTACATTTTAATAAGAAATAAACAAAAATTCAAATGGGAATTATTTAAATGGTTGATTTATCATATCATATACCTTGAAGCCAGATCTCTGTATTGCAATAGCGATTGCCTGGAATTTGGGATACTTTTTTAACTTAGAAATGACATAAGAACGTCCTATCTGTGCATATACAAGACCAAATGAAAACATACAAATAAGATTATATCATTTGGCATCCTGAAGTGCTTAAAGAATATGGAAACTGGGAGTCTCATCTTGAAAGGAAGCAGATATGCAACATCTTATGAAATACTGAGTTCAACTATTAAAAAACATACTGTTTTGCCAACAAGGAAAGCAGCAGTTGCACCAAGAGTCGCACCAATTGAATCAGCAACAAATCCCACTGGCAATCCAAAAAGATATCCACCTCCAAGCTGAAACATACATTAGAAACAAACACATAAGGACACTTACATCTACAGTTTACAGATGAAGAACAGAAATAAGTTCATTTCTCACTGTAAGCACCGAGGCGGGAACTGCAAATACTGTTAGAGGGATGTAAGCAAAAGCACTGCAAATTTGAAGGGAAAAAGAGAACATGAGACAGAATATTTGATTGGATAATTAAGGGGAACAATTGATATGTAAATAGTTGATAATTTCATACAATGGAACTTAATACAAAAGAATGTATAAATAGTAAGATACATTGGAAACAAGAAATGCCTTACAGAACAAGTGGACCCCAAGGACCCAACTCTGCCTTAATCCACAGCAAAAAGTTCTTCAAAATCTGTAGAAACACATCAAGTCATCAACATCAAAATGAAGAGAATACATAAGCTGTAATGATGACAAATATTGGGAATAAACTCAATTAACAGTTTTGGCAAGACCAAATTAAACATGACAGAGGATAAAGGACAGATAGCATGTTTTTCCTGATTCTCAATGAGCAGTTTTGGCAAGACCAAATCAACATCAAAATGAGGAGAAGATATAAGCTGTAATGATGACAAATATTGGGAATAAACTGAACAGTTTTGGCAAGACCAAATTAAACATAACATGAGGATAAAGGACACATGGCATGTTTTCCTGATTCTAATAGAAAAGTAAAGAGAATATGTGAAAATTTCTTATATTCTAGGAACTCAAGTGGGAATCGAAGCGTATAGTTACAACTTTAACTGTTCTTGTTTCGAATTTGTTTCCATAACCATTAAATTTAAGCTCTCATACGTAATTTGACGTCTATTTCAGTCAATTTATTCTCAAAACCCTGTATTCACAAGCAATAAACCTTTTAAAAAAATGCTTCTATTGTTCTGAATTTAACCATATACAATGTTCTAAACAGTAAAAGCAGGTACCGAAAAAGTATAATGAGGCATAACCTTTTCGACCGGGAGAGAGTAACATGCAAAGGCGAAAACAGCGAGAAGAATAAAAAATAGTAAGGCGCGGGCGGCGGACGACCATGTAAAGGCGAACGAAACCTTCATCTTCATCGACGATAATAACCGGCGACGCCACGGCCGGGAATCTTCGTCGTCTTCGTTTCCGGTCAGGTCTTGCTTTAACGACGACCTTGCTCTCAATCCCACTGCGTTCGCCAGATTTATTGAATTCGCAAAGGAACTAATTGTACATATTTTTGCTCAAATTCGCAAACAGAAAATCATTCAATTGTACCCGAAATGAAATTGAATCACAGAGATCTTGGTAATAATATCGAATGTAAATAATCGAACTCCGTCGCCGACGATCGGGATTCAGATTTCTCCCAAACCTAGACTTCTGCATCAAGTAAATTATTATAGTATTTCACACTTGCTTCCGGTGGTGGGACCCACTCACCTAAAATCTCAGCAACGCGGAGTCGGTCCAGACAGAGAGGGCGATTGGGAAAGTTTACATTTGCCACGTCATCGTGGGCCTGAACTGGGGTAATATTTAAATGGGCTTGTTTCTACACCGGCATATGGGTATAGTTTTAAAAGCGATTAATACAATTAGTGTTTATAAAAACAGATTGATTATTAAATAAGAAAATTATTATTATCAAGTTAGAATAAAAAGCAAAATATAAATTATGAAAAAAACGAGTCAACGGGTTTGACATCTGTTTACAATATATTAAAAAACTCGCAGCATCTTGAATTATATTATAGAAATAAGTAAAATCAAACTTTATCCTATACTAATAAGGTTATACTGTGCACCATTTACGGCATACCGCAGTAAGATGCGGTATGCGGTAAACACCGTACCAAGGTGCCAAAAAAAATATAGTATAGCTTTGTTCGGATATAGGTTTGCTGCACTTGAAATGGGGAAGGAGTTGTTTCTAGCCGTTGCCAACGGCTAGAAATTTATATTTTTAAATTTAAAAAAAAAACACTATAAATACAATCCTTTTGTTTCATTTTTGAAACACAACCCACCTTCTACACAACTTTTAAAACCTTTGTAATTCAATAATGAATCCACACAACCCTCAAATTATCGCTCGTAGCAAATCGTCTGCAAATTTTCGTCCGATTGAGTCGTCGGTTTACCGACCACAAATGGATCCGTCTTCAATTTTGCCCTGCCTCCCACTCCAACCCCAACAATTTATCTATCAACAAATGCCACAACAATATTACACGATGCAACCACTTAGCCCAACCACGTTTCAAAAATTTCCCCCCTCCCGGAATACGGCCAGTCACAGGAAGTCGAATTTGTTGGGGAAACTTAACCGGTTTGTAGCCGAGCCCCAACCGGAAATTGTTCCGGAAACCCAACCCGAATCATCCAACCCCAAAAACGCGGAAAAGGAAAAGTACTGGTTTGTAAAGAGAAGATGTCGTCTCAACAATGGCAATCGGACGAAGAGTTGGTTTTAGCGCGATCATGAGTCGATATTTCGGAGGATTCAAAGAAAGGAAACACGCAAAAGGATGACCATTTTTGGCGAAGCATAAGGGAACGTTTTCTTAAGGTCATGACTTGTGGAGGTACCACACCAAAGATCAGTGTACTATCAAGTTTCGCGAGATGAATAAACTTATCACTAAATTTAACGACATCTACAACAATTTGTTAACTCAACGGAAAAGTGGGGAAGGCGATGAACAAGTTTTAGAGACGGCTCTTAAAATTTTTCTTGTTGATAATAATAAGAAGTCGTTCTAGTTTTTTGATATTTTGAGATTTTTATCCAATTCCCCGAAATTTATAAAAGAGTATGGTAGCGGAGTAGGTGGTTCGAAAAGAACCAAAGTTTCTGAGACAACTTACACTACTTCATCGGATGCGTATTTTAGGGTTGATTTGAACAAAGTGGATGAGCTCAAGCTTGAAAAAATAGTTCGTCCAACGGGTCGAGATAGGGCAAGAAAGAGAGGATCGTCGTCAAATACATCGGCAACGGGAAGAGGATATGAAGTGAATAGAGTTGTTACTAGTTTGGAAGTTTATAATTTGCATTTTGAGACTCGTTTGACTTTTGAAAAGGAGAAGTTAGAGGAGAAAAAAAGATCAAGAGATGAAAAGCAACGAGCTCGAGAGGAGAAACAAAAAAGTAGGGATATAAAATTTTTAACAAAACCTTTAGATCACCTCCACGGAGACGAGCTCGATGTGGTTTTGAAGGCTCGAGCGGACATCATGAGAAAATATTACAATTAGTAATCATTTTTAGGATTGTAATCGGTTTTATGTTTTTTTTTTCGTTTTTTGGGATTTTAATCGTTTTTATGTTTTTTTTTCGTTTTTAGAAATGTAATTGTTTCAATTAAATTAATCAAGTTTTTTAGTTAATTACATGTTATTCAACTAAAAAATTTAAAATAAAATGTTTTTTTAACTAAAATACATTTTGTTCAATTAAAAAAAGAAAAAAAAATGTGGTAAAGTGGGGTATGACACCCACCACTTTTCTGGGTGTGGTATAAATGATGTGACACCTCAAAAGTGTAGTGAGTGTGGTATGACACTCACCAGCCTAAAAGAATAGTTATTAGTGTCATTTGTCATTTTCTCATAATTTATGTTTTCTTTTCGACAAAATTGCAAGAATGGTCCTGTGGTATGTCAAAACTAGCAACTTTGGTCCAAAATGGGTTTGGATCGCAAGGATGGTCCAATAGTTTCGTTTTGTTGCGAGTTTAGTCCAAAAATTTTAAAACTTTTTATAATGACGGATTTGCCCTTCGTATTTTCCCTTTTTTAGTTTTTTTATTACATAAATAAAAAAAGAAAAAAAGAAAATCTCTCTCTCTCTCTCTCTCTCTCTACACAAAACACATCTTATTCGTTCTGAGAAGAGGGTTTCGGTAAAGAGGGCGAATGAGGCTTCTCGCGAAGATGTTTCCGGTGAAGATGCTTCCGGCGAAGGTGCTTCCGGTGAAGAGGGTTCCGTCAAACGAGGCTTCTGGCGAATTATCGTCATCGCTGCTATCCTTCTTCCCAAACGCCGATGGTTGTGAGGGTTTTCAGATCTGGTTCATCGTTGTTTTATCGTGGCGGCAATATTAGGGTTTCGTTGGTTCATGCTTCTTTTCCTCCGACTGATACAAGGGCGGCTAGATTAGGTTTTAGGGTAGCGGTTGTAATAGGGTTCTTATACCCAAATTTTTGCGAAGCCTGAGGTGTAACTGCCACCGTCACCTCCATACAGGCGACGATTCCGTGTATGTGGTGTCTTTGGCTCCAATGATGTTTTAGGCGACGTTGAAGCCAAAACGGAAATCATAAGGGTTTTTTTGGAGGTGCAATTCTACTAAAACAAGATCAGGTGCAGCTCCGCTTGTAATCATCTCATGTATTCCCCACTCCAACTAATTGTTCTTGTTACAAATCTGATTGTTCTTGTGGGTTTAAAAATATGGTTGTTCTTGATTTTGAAGTTGCAGATCAGGAAAAAAATATGTTTGAATTCATCATACGGTGGTGGTAGTTCTTGAGTTTCATTTTGAAATTGTAGATGCAGATTTATATGATGGTGGTGGAAAAAATATGTTTGAATTCATCGAATGGTGTTGGTGGTGACCGGCGGTCACGGTGGCAATGGCTATTGTTGGTGACCAACATTGGTGGTAGCGGTAGTGCTCGTGACAGACGGTGGTGGTGATAACATAATCAATAGCTGTATGCTAGAGAGGGTGGAGGGGTGGGGTAGGGATAGTGGTAGTATTATTTTGGTTTAATTATGTAAATTGTAAAATGTATTTATATAAATTAAAAAAAAACTGAAAAAAAAAAACAAAAAGTAAGGGCAAAAACGTCATTATAAAAAAGTTTAAATTGACTTGGACCAAATCTGCAACAAAAATGAAAAGTTTGGACTAAACTCGCAACAAAACGAAACTATTGGACCATCCTTGCGAGCCAAACCCATTTTGGATCAAAGTTGCTAGTTTTGACATACCACAGGGACCATTCTTGCAATTTTGTCTTTCTTTTCAAATGCTTTATAAAAATGAAATTTTTCATTTTCTCATCATTTTTTATTTTTTTAAAAATATTGATGTTGATAATAAGTTAGAAATTATTTATTTGATCCTTGATTTTTAGGATAAATTTAATTTCGTCTCGAATAAGTTTCGGTTATTATTGTCGATAATTAATTGTATTTCTATATTGAAAATCCTACAAAATCATAATTAATAATTTATTGAAAATAATTGATTAATGAATATGAATTTTACTATATAAATTTAATTATTTTTGTAATCGTGGTTTCTACGGGCTATAACCTAGTTTTTAATAATATATTTGTAGCGAAAAGATAGAAATTTTAAAAGTAATAACCTATTTAAAAACATTTAAAATTAAGGGTATTTTTGTCAACCGTCATTTTTTTTAAGGAAAAAATCGTTTAAAATTTTTCGTCTCAAACTATAAAACCCGAGTCTATATCCAAACTCATAATTTAATTATATTTAAACTAATATAATAAATAAAAACTACCTAAAAATCAAAATTCCATATGAATGTACTAAATTGACCTTCCACTATTTTCTCCCTATAGAGAGATACATCATTCTATTTCATTTATCTTCGCCCATGGGTGATATTTTTGCTATATTTTGTCGTCGTCATCACTAAAATATGTTTTTGCTCTTAAAAATGATTTGAGCATTGTTATTATCCTGCCTCCACGTTCGTTAGCAATCGCTACACCATGTTTCTACATCTTTTCCCCTCCCTTCCTAACTCATCTCGGATCTCCGGTGATGTGATATCTCGATGCTACCTCCGGTAATGCGATGCTCCTCAACCAAACACTTGCATGACACTTCATGATGATCCCAACCTCAACAGGTGATTTTAGGCATTTTCTAGATCTATTTCAGTGAAAAACAAACTTCGAGTCACTTCAATTTTGAAAATTCATAATTGATTCATGTTGTATTTATGTTTTTCAAAATTGAAAAGTTTAGTGAGTTTCTATTTGTTCAATATTTAAAGGTAGTGTTATGAGACTACACTCTATGTGTAATTTCATTGATGATTTACAGGTGTTACACTACGAGACTCTGGATTGGATAGTTATCATAGAGATTTGCACTGATTTTTGATACATGGAGTAGTGTATTGTTATGTATGTCCCATGCGCTACCTATGAATATTATGGCAAGCATCATGTACTTTCTTTCTGTGTCGCCATTACAGTTCATTTGTTTTATGTGGTCTTATCATTGTATTTGCTTATGTTCAGACTATAGTTAGGGTTTCGAATACTAAATTTTCACACATCTTAACACCTCAGTACCAATTTAACCAGTTGTTACTGATCTACCAGGACCCGAACTATGATCCGTAATCATCCACCTCCTAAAAGCATGTCTAAT